CCCCGAGCCTCCTTTTCTCCAGGCTAAACAACCCCAGCTCCCTCAGCCATTCCTCACAGGACAGCACTCCAGACCCTTCACCAGCTTCATTGTCCTTCTCTGGACATGCTCCAGCACTGCAATGTCCATCCTGAATTGAGGAGTCCAGAACTGAACACTGTGCTCAAGGTGCAGAGTCACCAGTGCCGAGTACAGGGGACAACCACTGCCCTGGTCCTGATGGCCACACTATTGCTGACACAGGCCAGGATGTCATTGGCCTTCTTGGCCACCTGGGCACACGCTGGATCATGTTCAGCCAGCTCTCACTCAGCACCCCCAGATACTTTTCTGATTTTTGGGCATCTTTCCAGGCAATCTGCCCCCAGTCTAGCTGGAGCACATTTTTGCTTTGTGATGAGGACCATTCTGATCCTGGAGTCTGAAAAATAGCTTCCTTCCCCTGGAAGCTCAGTCGTTTCCCTACATCTGATGCTGTTGCAATTCCTTGAGCCTGTTTGGGGGAGAACCACCAGGCAGCCAAAAATCACTTTTCTGCTTTTTAAGTTTCTGCAATACCATCAAGCAGCACTTTAACTGGTGTAGAGAGAGTAGGATTCACTCTGAATTAGACAGAACTTGACAACAAAGTTGCAGAAAGTGTTAGTGCATTTTCTCAACCTAGCAGACATCACCAGTTTGTTTATAAGACAGAAAAGCAAGTGCTGGGGGTAGCTGGGGAAGAGTGGGAGAGGAATCTGACCCTGCAATCTGGAAATCACTGCATACAAAGGCTTTCAGCTCTACCAGCTGACTATGATGCAAAAGAGACAATCTGGGTCTACCCACAGTGCCACACAAGTATGCTGACATCACATTTGGTATGCTTGAATCTGTGTGTTCTCATCAGGTACTCTCCATCACACCTTAAGGGTAACGAAAACAATCAGAAGACTGACTCCATTCTAACAGGAAGGAAAAAAGTTATGAAAATTGCTGCTTAGCTGCAAAGTTCTTGTTAGTACTTGAGCACAGTTCTATTGGAAAACATATTTGAATGCAGATGTTGTTCAGCAAATAGAAAATTAACAAATTATCACCATTGACACAAGAAGGAATTTACTCAGCATGATCTTCAGGTCAGACTGATCACGTAAGGTTGTCAATAAGAGTGTGAAATACACACTTAATTTGGAATCTGATCAAATATGACAGACAGGAGATATTTACGGAATTTCACCTGTCATTTTATAGTACAACCACACACAAAATTGTCCTTTTTAAAATACAGAAAAGCAACGCTATTTGTTGAATCTCTGTTAACTTTGTTCCCAGAGAAATTCTCACAAGTTTTCAGAAACAACCACTCTGGTTTGTATTTAATCTGTTTAAATAAATTATGTATAGAGAATCTACATGCACATGTGTATAAATATACATGAAAACAATAGAAAATAATTTCCTAATGTGCAACTATTTCTGAATACTTTGCCTAATCTAAATATGGTTAAGAAGCAACAAGATGCAAATTTTCTATTCAAAGGCTTCAAGTGAAATAACTCACTTCAGACATGCAGTTTCATATTATTTGGTGGTGGGGTTAATCATAGGTTTATATTTGAAATATTTTTCACACTTGAAAATGCTATTTTGACTTGAAAAATCTAAAAAGCAAAACCAAACAAAACCAGCCAAACCCCTTGAACCACAAACCACTCATTTGAAAATGCCTTCCCCCGCCCCCCCCAAATAGGCAATAAACACATTGTTAACAGAGGGGGCCAAAAGCCTTTGGATGACCTGGTGCTTGCTTTTGGAATGCAGGAAGAGGATACTTTTGAGAAATAAGTAACTGAAATTAAGATATCGGGAGCACAAAAGATATTTTTGAGTTGGAAGAAGGTGATGATATAATGTTTAGGAGACTTTTGCAATCTCCTGTACAGCTAATAGTACCCCCAAAATTAATCTAACTGGTTTGTTTAGCATATATTAAAGGTTGTATAAGTAAAGAATATTTATGTGTAGAATACATACAGCAAAACAAAATATCTGCTGGGTGAATACTGAGTAGCTGAAGAACCTGCCAAGAAGTTGTCTTATACATTTTTTGGGATATGCTGTATATCATAGTGTGATTTATAACTGTTAATTAGACATAAATCACTGCAATAGTATAGTTTAAAAAGTTCTGACAATGAATTTCTAAAAATTTCGTGCAAAGCAAAGCATATTTTCCAATATTATCTGGAATCCCTTCTTGCACTCTTGCCCGGAATTAGAATTATCCCTCTTCTGGATTAAAGATGCATTGGTGGATTAGTCTATCACTGATGACAACATAATATATCCTTCCCAGAGGCTTAAACTGAAAAGAGGTCTGTTAACTACAGACTATAAAAAAAAAAAAAAAAAAAAAAAAAAAAAAAAAAAAAAAAAAAAAGGAAAAAATATTTTTAAAAAAAGGACATTGGACACAAAGCATATTTTAACATTTAAATATCATCATGTGGGAGGTCAAAGTTTGTGAAACATAACCTCAGGTTCAGTGCCATGTATCAGTCCTATTCTTTTCACAGACTGTTATTACCTGTAAAACTAGTAAGACATGGGACTGATTCCTTCAAGGATTAGCCACGGGTATTACTTTTAGCTTTAGCCACCTGACAACCTCAGGGATACCAGGCACTCAGGCAATTTGAATGAAAATATATTGGTTTTAATTTTTCTACTTCATGGTCCAATATACATTTTGAAAAATTATGCTTCTTCATCTGAATTAATTTTTTAGCTAGTTAAAGAAGTACTAATGTCATATTTAAATTTAGTATTTCCAAAGCAACAAAGCAGAAGAGCTGTTTTTGAACTGAAATAATTTCTATTTCTGAGACAGTTCCAGGTGACATTAAATTGATTCATTGCTTTACTCTAATGCACTAAAGGAGGTGTTATGTTATTTTGTATATTAAGAGACATGCTACCAGTTTTTCACAGAATAATATCATCCTGCAAAGTTTTACCAAATGTATGACTACATAGTGCACAAAACATCTTTAATTGTGAACTGGAATATTTCACATGCCAATAATTGTACAATGACAGCTTCTAGAATACACCTATTTAATATTTAAGCCAAATTCTGGAAAACTACCTAAAAATAAGTGTTTCACTGCCTGTAATAAAAAGTTAATGTGCTGTACTTTCTGGTGAACTTTAACACCTAATTACATTCTTTCTCAATTATATCTTAGAAAAAAAAAAAAAAAGATTAGTTGTTAGCATTAAATTAAAATGTAAGATGCTGGGGTCTGGTTTTTGTTCAAGAAAAGGTCAGCCCTTCACTTAATGAAGGTCAGTAAAGTCATTGGCTTAAAAAAAAGTAGCTCAATTTGGGTATAGAATTCAGCTGAGAAATTAACTTTCTACCACACTTGCCTGTTGGTGTCACTGAGAAGATGAGGATTAGACATTTTTCTGGTGTTTTATTTAATCAGAGACTGGAATGTCATCACTAATGTTTCTTGCTAAATTGAACCTTCAAAGAACAGTATAGATTTTGTGAACTGGTTCTGTGTACAGCTCGCAGGCTGTGTGCTCCATCCTTTGAAAGGAAACCACTGTGAAGGGGGAGGGTCCTGAGCACAAAGAAGGGAAGAACCGCTTTTCTGGCAAATGACAGTATCAGCAACAAAACTTTTATTAGAGCACGCTTCACTATGCAGTAAATAATACCTATACACTTTGTAGAAATAAAAGGATGGAGGATGGGAGAAAAGGGCTCAGAGTTCTAAAGTAGAAGGAATTTGAAGGTACATCTAAGTAGTCTTACGAGAGATTGCTTTATAGTGAAGTATCAGTTACATACAACCCTGGATCATAATTATCTGTGTATCCTCAGACTAACAGAGCACTTATAATGCAGTTCTGTGCTTCTCTGCAATTGATCTCAGTGACTGCATCGTTTTCTTGACGTTTTACTACTTACTGATTCAGTAATCACAGTTGTGTTGTCTTAATCAAGCAGTAATTGAACCATAAAGGAAATGCCAATAAATACTCAACAAAGATATCAAACCGGTTAAACAGCAATGTTTTTAGTCAAGAAACATCTAAGAGCAGCTCAAATCTGAGTTTTCTGATCCACCACTATGGATGTCTAGGTTTCTTAAAAGGTAATTAAAGGGAAGGCAGTCCATTTTGGCCCAAATCCGCCATCTCCCTGTTCCTTTAATTGGCTTTAAAATGCTTGAGCCCCGTTAAAGAAGAAACAAAAGTGGAGATCCAGGCGGGTCCTCTCTCCGCCGCGGCCGGAGGGGGAGCACGCCAGCCGTGCAGGGGAAGGCAGCGCCGTGCCGGGAGCTGCCGGCGGGGCCGGGGCGGGAGGAGCCGGGAGCGGCGGGAGCGGGAGCGGAGCCGGGACCCGCCCGGGGCCGGGACCTGTCCGTGGTGCTGCAGCCGGGCCAACACCGCTGCCAGAGCCACCACCGATGGGCCCGGCTTCCCTTCCTGCCTGCCTCCCTCCACTAACACCCTGCAATAGCTGCTGCCACTGCTGAGCATGATTTACAGAAACACAGCTTTTAGGGAGATTTTGTACTCCCCCCAGGGCTGGGAGTACTAAAGAAGAAAAAAAAATAATCCCCAAACCTCCTAGCAAAGCCCTGCCCAGGCTCTGAGGCGCCTTTCCCTGGCGGTGTCTCGGCTGCCCGGGTTGCGGGGGAAGCCCCAGCCCAGCGCACAACTTTGCTGCGGGAAGCCGGGCTTCAACCCGCTCGGAGCCTCCGCGCAGGGGACCGAGCACGGCGGGGACCCGGCACTCTCCTCACCTGCTGCGGAGAAGCCAGGCAAGAGGGAGGGAGAGGCTGGGAGCTCCCTCGCCTCCCGTTCCTCATTGCCGGCTTCTGGCAGCAGGGAAACCCCCGGGGGGCGGAGGGGAGGGAAGAGGAAGCTCCCGCCGTACGCGCAGTGCCCCCCGAGCATCCCCTTCTCCGGGCATCCGGAGAGCCCCAGCCCGGACTCACGTGTGCCGTCAAACCGGGTGGCGATGGTGTCCAGGAAGGTGTTCTGGGGTGCCAGTAATCCCTTCATAACCGGCATTTTTCCAGCGCGGTGCGAGGTTCCCCATCAAAGTTTGTCTACGAGGGTGGTTCGAGAAGAAAGTGCAGAGGGCGCCCGGGGGAAGGTAGGGAAGGGAGGAGGCGGAGGGATAGGGAGGAGAAGGAGGATGGGGATGCCGCCGCGCCGCCTCCGGCGCCGGGAGCCCCCCGCTCGTCAGCCCCGGCCCCACACAGCTTTCCGGGCCCCGCAGAGCGCTCCCGGCCCGTCCCCGCCCTGGGGAGCCGCGCTCAGGTGCGGAGCCGCGCCCCCGGCCGGCAGCGCCCGCTCCCCCTCCGCGCACCCCTCCACAGGAAAGGGGAGGGGGGCGCCGGTGGAGAGCCGCCGGGAAGGAGGGAGAGCTGGAGGAAAGAAGGGAGCTGGGAAAGAGCCACCTTTATCCACCTGTAGCGGAGCCGGGTGGGGCGGGGAAGAGCAGGGACCGGCGGCTCCCGGGGGCTGCGGAGCCTCCTCCGCCCCGGGCAGACTCAGACATCTTTGGGCTCTAGCACCTGAGAAGGGTCTCGGGCATGTCAGCTCGCAGGGACCCTGTTTTATGAGTAAACAATATCACAGGGTAGTAGGGTAAAGCGCGGGTTCTTTGCTGAAAGGAGAAACCCCCTTGATGGATGGCAAATGCCTCTGGAGGTGCTCACTGGAGAGTAAGACTAGAGCATGGATAATGCTCCACCAGTTGTGTGGTCTCAGGCGTTATCTTCATGTTGAGGCTATTTCATTTATTTAAGGAATAGGCATTTCTCTGTCACTGTTAATATATCCTGTTTTTTTTCAACAGTTATCCCTGAAAAATGCCAGAAATATTTTTTTTCCCTTCCAGCCAAAGGGAGAATTGAGACCGATCCTAGCCCAGAAGGTCTAATGTGTAAATGAAAATAGATAAATATGTACCAATAGTAATCAAGAAGCAGGCATTCCACTTTCAGATGAGTAACCTGCTCAGGCTGGTACCATGGCTCTTTAAACGCTGCCAGATTGCTCTCCACAGTACTGTAATTTCGCTTACTGTAGCAGCAGTGGTAAAACTTCTCCATGTTCTTTCAGCATTAGAAGACCCTGGAGAAAAGAAGTGGGAGTACACTCCCTAATCTACAGAGTCACTGTGCAGAGGAAGCCTGTTGGGTTCTTGCTATTTTACAGTACTGCTATTTGTATTTTTTTGCTATTCTTGTTTATTTAGGATTCTCTGTTTCTCCAGATGGTTAGAAGACTTTGATTCCCACTTTTTACCGTAAGCAACACAGGGAGAGGTTACAAAAGAGAAAAAGAGGTCTTTCTTTACAACAGATCATTAAAAGCAGAAAAAGCCCAGAACCTCAGAAAACGCTGATGCACAGTTTTGAGCACAATATAAAGCCTACCCATGGCAACCCCTTGCTCCTGAAGAATGCAGCAGTATTTCATGGAGACCATGAATCTGTCCAGTTGCCCTTGCACCAGGAGCCTGTACAAACTATTTGATATAGAGCTGCCAGATCGGTGTTCAGAAGTAGCACATGAAGTGAGAGACTGCCAGTACAGTACTTTGGAAACCTCCAAGATTTAAAAACACTATCAGTTTCATGCTATCTAATAAATTTCAAATTCCTGCCAGCCTTGTCCTTAAAGTATGTAAGCATCAGTGTTGTCCTTAAATTGCACAATTTTAAATACTGAATGCAAGCAATTATTCATTTTTTTTTGTAATTATTCTCATATACTCCAGTTCAATATAAACATAGCCACAAAATTAATTTCTCTTGATAGTTTTCCATTTAGTCTCTCTGGCTAGTTGGGTTTGATGGTACAGCATGTACCTACAAGTGAAATAAAGAAAATCTTATTTCAGTACCTGGAGAACCCGCAAGGGCATGATCAGGTTTTCACTTGTGACAAAGTGCTCAGCAGCACAGGTTGTAAAGGTAAATATAAACCTTTGAAACCTGACAAGGGACTTGCCTATGTTGTAGCCTGTGTGCTGCAGTTGTGTTTCAGTTTGCATTTTCTTTCCATGGCCTGCCTGAACCATTTAAGTGGGATACAGTGAAGGAGAAAGGAATATATTCTTAATCCTACTACAGGCAGTCAGGAGACATTAACCAATATATACATTTAAAGATATAAATGCATTTCTCAATTTTGGTCACCACAGAAGGGAAAAAGAGACTTTTCCATGGGAGTCAAGTTGTTATAAGTCTGCAAGCCCATGAGTGGCCACACCATCTGAGCTGTAATCATAGTGTTTTGAGGGATGTAAGACATAACAGCTTCAGTAAGTTTAGAGCTTTATTAAGAGCTTATGGAAATTTCATAATAGATAGAAAATATTTTAATAAAGCCTTAGGACTTAGCTTGGGCAAAGAATGCCAAACAATTGTGCAAACACCTCAGAAAGGATAGATAGGGGCCAGAGGAGTTACAGGGCATATTTCATGTAGCTAGGGGTGAACACAATTACTGAAATGTATTCACCACTTGCCAGAAGGGTGTGATAGCAACAGCAGTGAAAGCTCTACCAACAAGGAAATCTTGCTGATGTACAAGAGGGAGAGACACCAAATTCTTTGTAAAGGATGCTAAAGGCCTCTTAATCTCTGAGAACTTCAGGAAAGAGGAAGTTTGCTGTTCTTTACAAGTACTCAAAATCTTGGCATACTGTTATAAATTGCTTATGGGAACAGCTATGTACTATGAACAACTGGTAACAATTAAGCTCCTAAAAATTATTTGTTTTCTATGTATCACAAAACAACCACCCAAATGTCTCTGAAGTAGAACTAATAAAACATGTTACAAAAATAATGCACATGAAAAGTCTCAAACTACAAAAGAGGAGAAACTGAAGTGCAGTATCCTAATTTGCACTTATATTTAGCATATTCTAGAGAATTTACACATAAGAATAATCCTCCTTTATAGAGATTGGTGCTTCATACAGTTTACTGCAAAACACAGAAGCTTAAAGTTTCTCAAAGCAGACAAATTTAAGAGGTTGAAATTTCAGTAAACCAAGAAGATGCAGTTCAGAAAAACAGGAAGGGAGATAAAGGATGCAGCTAAAAGTTTATAGTCAAGTCCTGGAAAATTATTTTTTAAGCTTTAAATGAAAAGCAAACTAGGGATTCTGAATAGTCATAGACTGATTTTAAATTGTAATGTGCAAGGGAAATTAAAATATAAACCCAGGTGATTTTTGTCTCATTTCAGGAAATCAGCTTTTGATTTTGTTCTATTAATTTTAATATCTGGGCTGTCTACACATA